TCATCATATAGAAAATCATTGAGCTGTTTTCTAATAAAATAGTGAGAATACTTTTTATGCAGTTAAAAGTAAATTATCTTAAGAGTCTGAACAGAAAGTTATATAATCGAGAACGTGAAAAAAATTAGAGCAGAGTGTTGCTATTGCCAGTATTCCTATATAGAAGCCAGCTTGATATTAAGAACTAGTGATGTCAATTTCAACTTGAAAATGTAGACCAAGTAAAAATAGTCCATGAATAGTCCAGAAAATGTAGACCATGATTTCAAGTAAAAATAGTCTCTTGGTGAATTGCTTCAATGTATCTACTTGCAATTAGAAGTGTGTATAATTTAAATTACTAACAGAATTAACAACCAATGAATTACTTTCTAGATAAGAATTGTTCTGAGTGCTGTTCAAATAAATAAATTATGAAAAATCTGAAAAAATTTAAGATCGATCATGAAAGAGTTTTAGTAGTAGATTATATAACAAATAACTCAAAAGCAAATTTTAGCAGAGTGCTATTTTTAATATCACAATTCAGCACAGCTCCCGGATCTCGTATAATTGCACTTAATAGATATCACGAATACATGAAATCGACTCACAAGTCAGTCTATCGTAGACTGACGTCTTCTCATCATATGTTTACAATTATTCGATTTTTTTTCTCGTTTTCGAATAACTTACTATTGATTACCTGTACGGCGCACACGTCGCCAGGTAATTCTATCTGTCGCGTTGCAGATTGCATGTTAATTCCGATTCCGCGAGATAACTTCGCGTAGAACCTTGGTAAGAGATATAATAGAAACGATTTGCGTACCTTTAAGAGTTTAGAGAAGACTCTTTCATTGAATGTGGAATGAATTTTACGATCGACGATGCTTTTTGTAATGTTTTGGTGCTTTGACATTTCGTAATTTGACGGTCTAGACATAACACGTGGATTAGTCGAGTCGATTTAAATATTATTTCTTATTTTCCACCCACATGTCTACTACGATGTATCTAAAATTCGTAACGTTTACTTTATCATATTTTTTTAAATTTTTGAACAGCAATCGTTATCGAAATGAATTATTGAAGTGATTCCCCAACTATCGATATATTATAATATTTATCACAATAATTTATATGTGTAATATGTGCAAATATCTCATAGGATTGTACTGTATTCTGACAGCTATTAAAAATAAAATTAATTTTTTTTTTAAAAATCTAAACTTTTGATTTCTAGGATCGGTTGTAATGATACTTCTTAAATGCAAAGCTTTTTAATATATCTCCTATATTGAATATATCTTTATTATAAAAATTAATCTAATATTGATGATGCATTTTAGTTCAGCAATACCTGGTAAGGTATATTTTCACTTGAAATCCTATTTCAGATCTATATTTTTAAAGAAATTTACAGGTTGCCACTTACACCTATTTTTCATAAATTTGTTATTGATCCTTTGTTGTCCATACATAACGCAGTATGTATATCAATACAATAATAAATATCAATTCCTTTGAACTTGACAATTGCTCCTGATGATTTATTTTGATATAAAGAGCTGTAAAGAGAAATTCTGGCACATATTCAAACATTATAAAATTTTGGAAAAATTGGAAATATACTGATAAGTTTTTGGTAAAGATCAACTTGGTCGAACGTAATTGATTATAAACTAACATCTTAAATTATTAGATGCCAACGATCGGTGGTTGACTTGTGAATCTCTATAATATCATTTGAAAATTTATTTGATCAGTTTTTAATAAAAAGCGAAAATTTTATAGTCACAATGTGAGAAGTTCTTAATCTCTGATTATTCAACTTTTCTTAAAGCAAAATGCCACTTACACAAAGCTTATCTATACATTAAATTAATGATATTTCACATTTCAATATAAATTGCAAACTATCTTATGAATAATCATTAATAGCTCTTATATCCGTAAAATTAAAACCGAATAATTTAAAATATTTATCTACAAAAATTTAATAATAACAAAATTACAAAAAAAAAAAGTTAAAACAATAGGAAGTCAAAGAAGTTAACAATTTTAACTATAAACTTTTGTGATGTTAATTTCTATCATTCAATTTACCTAATGTCTATTGAACAGGTATAAATTATATCCACAATAAAAAAAAGGAATTTCAATAATTTAATATTTGTTTTTTATTATTTTTATAATCGACCTTATTTGTTTCATTAATATGGCCATCATGATAAAAAGTTGCTTTTTTCCACGGTTTATATTCTTTATTTTATCCTCCATATTTAATAAACCTAAATCTTTTTATTATTATTAAGATTACATACTCAATTATATTATCATTATTACCATTAATTATTCAGTAATTAAACTTAACTATTTACATATGATATTTTTATTATACCTGCAATTTCCATCTATTGTGACTACTGTTGTTTTTCATTTTATCAACTAGAAATGATATGTAACGCTTGTTGATGCAATTCCAATTAATAGAAAATTTTATAAAAACCTTCGATTAATTAAGTCATTTGACTTTAAAATTTCTATTGCATTCTTCAAATCAGTATTTATTCATTGTATTCAAATGCATTTTTCGACATCTGTAGCCTATGGTTTAATAGGTTAAATTGTTACTTCATCAGTATTACACGTGGTTTCTTTTAAACTATTTTAAATATAAATTAGTGAATTGCAAAATTAATCATAGAAAATAGGAAAACTATTGAACTGAAAGGTTTTGGTAGTAAAAAATTAACTACAATAATCAAAAAATGGTAAAAATTTCTCCAACGGTCTAGGTTGCACAATCTCCAAACAACGTGAGATATTTTTTTTAGTTAAATGAACAAGCCGTTTCGGTTTGGCGTTAAGTTCTGGAACACCCTGTATAATTGCACATATTTAAAAATAAATTAATTCCTCGTTATTTCAAAACCGGTAATTTTTACCATTGTCCATTTGGCTTCGGAGCAAAAGCACGTTCAAAATTTACGACGAACTTTTATTTCCTCGAGTTTTTAATGCGATTACATCTCGGTCCTTGTGGAAGATTTCGGCAGAATTATTATTAAATCGTCTTTTTATATTTTACGTTCGTATCCAGATTTCGATAAACGTGTTTCTGTCTTTATTCATGAAACATGATTCATTTCAGACTTCAATGATATCAGATGAGACATGAATGCTTAATAAAACAACAATGGGTTTATTGTTATTAAATAACAACAAATTTAGTAACAATAACGTAATTTGAACATATGTGTACAAAATGTAATGGATAATTAAATAAATATATTGCAGGTCCCATATGGACAAAGAAATTTATCTGCATTCAGCAATTAGAGAGATTCTTCAATTGTAGAAGCTGATATAAAAAAATTGTTAAACTTATTAATATGTATGAAGTTATATATTTTATATATATGAAGTTATTCTTGAGTTTGATATTAAGATGTGCAATAAATCTTCAGGGCAGCTAGATCAAGTAAAAATTTAATAATTTCAGAAAATCTTTATTGCCAGTTTATTATGTCGAAATTATCTGATTGTTCAAAAATTATGTAGAAACGACTGACAAAAGTATTTCTACAAATCTTTGAATATTATTTATTCAAATTATAAGCAATTTAATTAAATAGCTATTTATAAAATAATATTCTTGTTTTCTTTAAATTGACATATCTAAGTACTCCTAAAACAAAAAAGAGCTCAAATTTTCCTCAAAATATTATTACAAAAATTTTAACTGAGCTTTTTGATGTGTTTTTAAAAAAATAATATTTATATATTAAATCAAAGTACTTTATTTTTATTGATTTATATGGACAACAAAACAGTTTATTCTTTGAAATTTAAATTGACATATCTAAGTGCTTCCAAAACAAAAAAGAGAGCTCAAATTTTCTTCAAAATATTATTACAAAAATTATAACTAAACTTTTTTATGTTTTTCTTTGAATTCATTTTATTGTACGACGTATTTTAGTACTTTGTATTTAATAAATATCATTACATTAATAATAAACAAATCATCACCACAAAATTATTAAAAATCTTCCATGTTAATCGAGAAATAATTTTAGGTAACTTTTTGCTGTGCTCTGATGATTATATAATTTCCATAAATTTATTGAAAACATCATTAATGACAAATAAATTGAATATTTTTTGTCAAATAATCGTATAAAAAAATTTGTTTTTATACTCTGTACTAAATATAGACTTATAATATTTATAGGCAGATAAATAGAATTTTTGTAAAGGAATGAACAACTAAATCTTTTGATGCAATTAAAATTATAAATGTAATCAAAAATAATTATTTTTTATAAAAATACTTAAATGTATATATATATATATATATATATATAAATATATAATTTTAAAGTTCACAATTTTTTTAAATTTCTGTACAATTTAAAAAAAAAGCAAAATAGAGTTCTCTTTATAAGGGGCAGGTAAAATCTTGTTGTAATTTATTTATATTATAATTTTTATTATTATCATTTTATTATTATAGTATATCCTAATATATTAATATGTAAAAACAAATAAAATACATTAATGCAAGAAAATTACCTATCCGATGTGAAATTATCATATATGATACAAAGTGTAAAATTGCAAAAATATGCATAAATGATTTGTTTTGACAATAGGTTAGTTTATGTAAGTACCAGCTTACAAAAAACTAATAATATTACATTAACTTGTTTATTGATGTTTTTTTAAACTTTTATCATAATCATCAACTGTAGCAATTATTTATGTAAATGATTAGAAATAAATATACAAATATGTGTATATATAAGCGCGTGTTTACTCATAAATAACCATTAGTGAATTAATTATTTATGTTTGTTGTACATGTGGGCCACAACTTGATCTTTCCACACAAATCGTAAACAAACGCAAAAAAAAACTATTTTATTAATGAATTATAAATTCTGAATTGATTAAACTCAAATGAAAAGAATTTTCAAAATACCTAAAACTAAAACGATTGTCTTGGATCTCTATTAGTAGGCAGATAAAAACTGATCTCTAGTTAACATGACCTGAATACAGAGATTATAATTAGATAAAAAACTGAAGTTAAGATTATTCAATTGGCAGGTATTAACGCGGATAACTAATGATCAGTAACATGGACTATTAAATCGAACAGGACCGCATTGGAACTATTAGAATGATTGGGCTCGAATAGTAGATGACTCACTATATATATAAATTGTTTTAAAACAATTGTAACTAATCATATAAATAGTTATAGTAATCGCAAAAAATCGAAAATAAACAATTTTATATATCTTTACGTTTCAAAGGTTTCTGAACATTTAAGCATACCTCAGCAAAAATGGATGTACGTGTGTGTTCGTGTATGATTGCATGTGTGTATGTGTGTGCGGATACAAATTTTTGTCGACGATTTTGAGAACACGAATTAACCGATTTGAATGATTCAAAAAACATTCAATTCTTATTGACAGGGAGACGTACTGATTAGTTTTTGAAAAGGCAGGTCCAGCGGTTTTGGAGAACCAATATACTAATAAAAAAAATCCATTTGCAGTCAAAAATTATCATTAGATATATGCACATCAATTTATTAGATATTTTGTGGAGTAATAATAAGTACAACTTTTGTTTACATTTTTATGGGTTCTGTACCAATGTTTATCCGTTGGACTCACGCGGCGCTTAGGCGCTTCAATATTTTCTCTCTGGAACATCAACGCGTTTATTTTGAAAAAAATTCAAAATTTTCAAAAAAGTTCGAAATATATAAAAAAAATTGAAACATTAAATTTTTTTTTCAAAATTTCAAAATTTTCTAAAATCTAATTTTTCAGTTTTGAAAAAATTTTAAAGTTTTTTTATTTTAATTATTGCTACGGAAAGATCCAACAATTTTCAAAGCACTGCGCCATGCACCACTAGTTAATTTTTTTCATTAACCAAGTTTGAGCATTTAACCACATATAAAGTTTTTATTTTTTTATATCCTAGTATACAAGGTTGGAAATATTTTTATTCAAATTTAATTTATTGAAGAAAATATATGATTTATTAATATTTTAAAATCAAGTTAATCTGTGCATTTTTCTGGAAATATATTTATTCAAATTTTATTTATCGAAGAAAATATATGATTTACCAAAATTTTAAAATCAAGTTAATCTGTGTATTTTTCTGGTAATATTTTTATTCAAATTTTATTTATTGAAGAAAATAAATGATTTACCAAAATTTTAAAATCAAGTTAATCTGTGCATTTTTATGAAAAAATATGTAAAATTCTGCAATTCTGCTAGCCTTTGCCCTTAAGTATTACACCAGGACAGACTCAAATATTATGAATGCTAACTTGAAATGTAGAAAGAAATGCAAATAAATTGATCGAGTTTTTCCAATGGGCTAACATTATTTTATTTGCATATAAAAGAAAAACAACATACAATAGTCAATTACAGAAATGACATTTTAATATTTATTTTCCCCGAAGGACAGTGTTACAATGCATCGATTAATCCTGCCCTAAATGCGAATTCTCATCGAATGTTGAAAAACAATTAACAATGCAAGTCTAATTGTTGATTGAAAATACATGTTAGAAAATGTCAAGTTAACGCTATGCAAATCTCATAATAATTATACAAAATCGATTCGGATTCTAATTACGAGAAACACTGCGCAATTTAAAGTTCAAACGCATTTAGAGTCGATGGTTAAATGATAAAATTGCGTTGGTCAGGGATTAAAAGAACTTGGATAATTATAATAATTATCAATTGTTAGTTTTATAGAACTCAGTCTGTACTATTTTAATAGATAGATTAGGAATAGATTTAGAATTTTGGTCTTATATAGGGTAGGGAGGGGCACAAAGGTCCAATGTGACTTTGAACAATTATATTGTGAAAACTAAACCAATCATATCACTAGAAGTAACACATCAAACAAACAACTATCTGACTGTGTTCAGAAAAACTTCCAGCTAATTCATCATTGCAGAAATTTTGGTGTTTTTTTTTCGAAAATTTGTCATCTGGTCTTTTTCACCCCAAAAGTGGTGTCCCCAAAAGACCAGGTCACAATTTTTTGAAAAAACACCAACTTTTCTACAATGATGAATTAGCTAGGCTAAGAGGTCCAATGCCTTTTTTTAACCAATTCAGAATATAAATGTTATGAGATATTTTTTACAAAAATAACACTGTATATAACCTTGATCTGGTATTTCGTCAGAAATATTCATCGGCAGAGTTGGAATAACAATTATTTTAATTTTTAATATTTATTGTAAAATTGCTTTTTTTATTTGATTTTTTTATTAAAATCATTCGTTATTTATAATTTAAAAAATGTCGACTTTTTTTTTGTTATCAATAGTTCCTGAAGAAGGGGATAATAATTATATAAATATTTTTTAGTGAAAAAGGAGCTATCCAAAAAAATTAAGTATGTATTTTTTGACATTAACGCACATCACAAATTTGGTTTTATGAGACATTTCAGTAAAAATTTGTATTAGCCAATTTTTTGTTTTTTTGTTTTTAATATTATGAAAAATTTATCACTCAATTTTTTCATCATACGAGTCACTAATGTAGGAATATTAGTCATAAAATTTATTATTATTAAATAATGAATAATAATTCCAACTCACCTCGTAAAATAGCCAGCAACTAAATATCACTTGAAATAAATTGTATACTATAAGTGTATATTTAAGTTGGAATGGTTTGCGATTTTCCATTAGTTTTGGTCCAATAACCTGAAATTACAATTCAGTTTCAGTACAATAAATTTTATGAAGTGTTAAATAATGCATTAGGAATTTTAATGTTAATTTCATTGAAAATAACAAAATTATAGAAGAATGGTATTTGGTAATATTGAATATTTTAATTTTAGACTAAATTAAAAGACAATTACTATTAATCTGCAATTACATTAAATTTGAAATTTTATTGGAATTTTTATTGAAAATAATAAAATTATAGAGGAATGTTATTTGCCAACATGGAATATATTAATTTTCGAGTAAATGAAGAAACATTTAAGATAATCTTTAAGTTGTATAATTTTTAGCACAATTTTAATTTATTGATATTTAGCTATTTAAATAATATTTTTCATTGACTATTAAATTCAATAATGGTTACAATTCCTAATTATTTTGACTCTTTTAATACATTTATATTTATTTTAACTATATTTAAAATACTAATTCTCATTCTTCTCGTACATTTTAACTGCATAAAAACAATTATGAATATAAAATGTGAGATAAAATAAATATTAATAACAAAAGCGTAATAAAATAGCATAATAATTAGCAATAACTTAATGTGAATTCTACACCTTCATTTCAAGAAAAAGAAAATTTTAAGGATTTTTTTATTGACTATATATTATTGTATTTAATTAAATAATTAGTTCATTCAATAATAATTCATTTTTACATTTTTATTTTAAATATTTAACTTTGACAAATGATATGACACTAATCCTCGTTTCTTATAAACATTTTTACAGCATAAAAATAAAAATAGATATATAAAAATATAATATAAAACTAAATATTCATGAAAATTGAGCATAAATAAAATAAGTAATGAAATAGTATATCAGGTCATAAATATAATTTGTGACTTCTATACTTTCATAGCAATTTTTTTAATTAAATTTCTAATAGTAGAAATAGTAAAGTATGATACTAGAGTACTAATCTCTTTTTTTATTATAACATAAGTTGTAATTTTTCTAACAACTTTAGCATAAAATAAAATTATATATTTATAAAAAAATATGATGTGAACTAGATTCAGAATGCTAAACACCTAAATCATCTTTTTCTAAAATGGAAAAAGCAATTAATCTGTGTATAAAAAATAATTTAAAAAATGAGTGATACTAAAAACTTTTATAAAATAGAAATCACAATCAATTTTATGGGAATTAATATACTATTCTATTACATATTTAGGCTCAATATCATCCATCATCAACATCAGATATTGATAAAAGTCAAACACAAGTAAGTAATGTAATAGTGTAATACTTATTAGTGCAGTAAATGTAGAGGAAAAAAGGGTATAACATCTGCATTTTTTTTACTGTGCTCCGAATTGAATGAAATTTTGAAATTAGGTTTATCTTACCCTCAAGTTCAAAAGTGAAAACAATTCGGGTTGCGCCATCACCCTCCGGGGGGATGACACCCCTTCTCAATTGTGTAATTACATTTTTTCAAAATAACGTCGGAAATCGATAGAAGAACTAATTATAAGAAAAATTTCTTCTATAGTTTTTCAAAAAAAAACTAATACTTTTCAAGTTATTGGCCACTAAAGATTCATATATTTTTGTCTTTTTTCTTCGTTTTTTTGCAAACATATATACATTTTAACGAAAATCATGTAATGAACATTATTTTGTTCAATAAAAATCTTAATAAATCGGTATTACATAAAGTGTTCTGGGGAAAAATATTAAGCAAGCTTTGAAAGAGCAAAGTCGTTTTTTATTTCGTTCAAGATTTAATTGTTGTATTTAAAGCTATCTAGTGTCGAGGTTTTACATTTTATGCATTTTGGTGAAATTGGATTTTATAGTGCTCAACATAAGCTTTAAAATGAGCGCTGTCACAAGTTTTTTGCGTGTAAAATGAGTGAGCTATCATGCAAATAAGAAGGCATATACGAAGTTTTTTTCTTTTAAATCATATGGTTTAATGAGCGCCATTTCCACCAGAATTAAAGTAATTCACATTCCATCTAGAATTCACTTCATTATAGACATCTTGATGGATTCTAGCAGATTCACTACTTTAGTACAAACTATTTTCAGAAAACTCACGATTTTATAAAAACTTTTTTTTTTCATTTTTTTTTAAAAATCGAAATCATTTTCATTATATCTCAAAAAGAATAAAAGATACGTATAAAAGCATATAGATAAAAATCAAAGGGATCTTTCTGACTTATTATTGTTTTTTATTATTTTTCTTTCACACAAAAATTGACAGAGTTATGAATGCTTAAAGACTGCGCGGCCGCGCAAATTGGAACAAAAAGTTTTTATAAAATCGTGAGTTTTCTGAAAATAGTTTGTACCAAAGTGAAAACAATTCGGGTTGTGCCATCACCCCCCGGGGGGTGAACTTTTCGCTTTTGAACTTGAGGGTAAAATGAACCTAATTCGAAAATTTCATGAAATTCGGAGCACAGTAAAAAAATTCAGACCTAAAACGTTCCGTTTACTGCACTATATAGGGATTAGTTCCATGTTCTTATATTATATATAATATTTTATTTGCCTTCAACTTCTTGATTGTGGCAGTCTTTTGAAAGACTGCCAATTTTTTATACAGTTGAATGACATGGATCAAATCCCTTTTGGTGCATAAAAACAGAGTTACACATTCGTAAACTTTATCTGATTTCTTTATCTTCTATCATTTACCTTGACGAAGTAGGCGTAGCTCAGGCATATAAAAAGCGTAGGGAATGGCGAAGACATCATGGGCCAGCCGTTGACCCGCTGGTCGCTCTTGTTGTCCATGAGGTCATGGTATCCGTCCCAAACGCTCCGTATTAACGTAGCCATTCTGAAACAGAACGCGTACATATCATCACAGATTCCGCATGTGCAAGGACATTCGAAAGAAAAATAACATTTTGCGTCTATAATATCCAAGTGCCGTCGTGCGTCTGCTAACTTATAACTAGTCACTTAAGTAGACCATCAATATTCATAACACCGAACCCGGGCTCCTTAGATTTTATCGACTACTCGGGTGGACGCTTTGAGACAATGAAAACATTTATGATTTAGACCACACACGAAGGTAATGATCATAGAAGTACTAGACATAATAAATTTTTAATATTGACTCTCTTTCTCTTCATCAATTTCAACCAGCGAAAAAGTAACAAAATACCATCAGTCAATGAATGTATGTTAATTTTAATTGCATGAAGTTCTTCAAATACAATTACATTAGAGAACAATATTTGTTTAGGCGTTGTTTAACATAATCCACTTTGTGAACGAATATTATAAAATTTATTAATCAGCAATTACTTCATTTCTCTCATGAAAGTTCATTTCTAAATGCTAATTACAATGACAAACCGATCATGTCATATGAAGTATGACTTTAATTACATTATTGTTTTTAAATATTATACATATTTTTAATGCTATTATAAATATGTAATTTATAATTTATCAAAATTACAAGAGTACAGAAAAACAAAAAAAAGTTAATAGTTTTGAAAATTAGCAGTTGCTGAAGTGTCCCAAAAAAATGATACGTCACCGTGCCTACGATTGCACCCTCCCAATAATCCGAAATAAAAAAATGATTACTAATTCAGAATGTTACCGCTATGGTATATACTACGGACAAGCAAAAAAATTTTAGCAAAATGGCGACTGTTTGAAAAAAAAACTGTTCTTGAAATCACTTTCTTGAGTTTCTCGATTTTTTAAATAGTAGACATTGAAATTGGGGTTGAGTCTAGTTTATATCAGAAAGCAGTCTATAAAGAAGATTCTTTGAAATTTCAAGTAAATGGGTTCAGTAAGGCTCTAGAAATCGTAGGCATCAGATTGAAAAAAAACGGTTTTGAGAAAAACGCGTTTGAAGTTTCATAAATGGAAGGAAACATTAGGAGATTGTTATGGTCAAACAGCTGTATCTCCAGAAATAATTTAGATTTTTAAAAAATCCTCTCGTACACATATTCTTGAATAGTTAAATTTTGAAAATATTAAACAAATAGATTTGTTTTTTCTGAACACCAATCAAAACCAGGTGATCATAAATCAAGTCGGTTTTTAGAGAAAAAAAAGTCATAACATTGCAATCTTTGTAATCGATTTTTAAGTGTTTTATACATTCATATAATTATTTAATAAATAAATTTACTAAAATTCGTAACCCCGGCGTGATGTGTACTTTTGGTTTGATTTATTCTAGAACCTAATTTTGAAATACGAGATAAAATGGGATTTTAGTATGGGTTTTTATAAAAATAATGGGCAGTACTGCTCTGAGTCAGGTCCGTGAACTGAGTTGAACCCCAACTCGATTCAGGGAAAAATAGTGTGAGAGATTTTTCATTGCCATTTCACACCGCCTTGCCCGAAATGGGATAATTTCGGGCAAGTAAAAATGGTCATCCCTACTTCATGATATTAGGTTGTCTAAAGTAGGAGTTTTGTAGCGTATTTGACACCTTATTTTATATTCATTCATATGATTATTTATTTTTTAGTAAATAAATTTACGAAAATTGGTGACCCCGACGTGTTATGAAAAGGTTATTCTAAACTATGCTTTAAGGCGTGTACTTTTGGCTTGATTCAGTTCACAACCACTTCTTTAATAAAAAACGAGTTAAAATTTATACAAATTTAAATATAATGAATTATAATTGATATTTTAAATGCTAAAGTAATTGTATGACAATGTGATGCTATTCGATCATCATCCACTCTACGCTTCTTAAATTATAATAGATTTCTCTACAAATTATAAAAATTTTAATTTTTTTAAATAAATCAATTTCTTACTGATATATATTGGTTGCTCACCCACTCGGCCAAAAAAATGTTAAATTTTCAACACTACATGACGAAAGAAATATTTGTTTTAGTAGAAATACTATAGGCACCTTAATTGCCGATATGATGTTTACTGAAAATAAAATATTTTAATAACAATATTCCTAATATTTCTGAATAATTCCAAATATTGAATCAACAAATATCAATCGTAATGTGTAAATTGCATTTTATAAGTAATTTGTGCATCAACATTTTATGAACGCATGAAAATTGAATTATCGTAGGATGCATATAGTTTTTAATAATATTTATTCAAATATTTTCAATAACCATTATTTTTGTAATTTGTCATACATAATTTAATTTTCAAATATACTACACCTATTCCATTACCATGCTCTGACTCATCAAATTTAATATTTCCCAATAAACTCAACCTACCTTGAATCAAAGTACATCATATTAAAATATCAAATGATTTAGTTTATATGATACAAATTCAATTAAAATTTATAAATAGTGGCATATTACCAATTAATGCATTAGCATAAATTCCAATGGTCTGGGTACAATATTCTGTGAATTGAACTCAGATTATTTATTTACAATTTACATTGCACAATCATCTTGATTTGTAACATGTAATCCGTAGCTCTAAGCGATATTTAAATCGACATGCACTTGTGGAATTCAATAATCGATTCGAACTTGCTTAATAACCGACCAAGATTAATAGAAAAAACAAAATCGATTTAGTGGATAGTGGTTAGAACTACGGATTGCAATTGAAAGTTCACAGTTCAACACTCTCCTCGGACAGCCTGATGTCAAGCAGTAGTGTCATCAGTTTTTTTTCGCGCAAGCTCAATGAGCAAGTGAGAATAAAAAACATTTGAGCTGATTGTGTATGAAATCGTTTACCAAATTTTGTGCTATTTTTAAGTTCTTATTATTTCACTGAAACTTGCCAAGGTACTTAAACACACTTTTTTTAAAGCATTGCTTTCTAAAGTCAAAATTTTTAAATTTTAAATTCATAATTAACAAATAGACCTAATTCCAGAATACTTGGAGAAATTGTGTCATTATTTGGGCTGTGGTCCTAGAAACGACATTTAGGGTTACGAATCCAAGTTTAATTGAATAAAAATAATAAATTAACCACAGTAACCAAAAATCGTCACAGTTTAACCTGAACTAAAACGCCCCTTATTTACAAACTGCATGACTTCTTTTCTAATTGTGTTCATGATAGTAACAATCAACGTTTGGGTTTGTTGTTGAGTTCTGGGACACTGTTATATATATATATATATATATATATTGTGGTAATTTATATTTTAGGTACTCCGTTTAGAAAGTTAACAATCAGTAAATGTGCATACGATTTGAAAACCACAATTGACCGTTATGGATCATAATGACTATTTCGACAGCATATTGACATAGAATAATATATAAATAAAATTATGTATTCGAAAGTTCAAACCAATAAATTTAACATACACGAATGTAATTTACTTGAACCTTATGGGTAATAAATTTACAATACCTATACGTTCAATCGAAACCATTACACATTATGGCAGTTATTATCATAAATATATGAAAATTTTATAATTCACTTATTTGCAAACCCAGAACAGAATATACTCAGTTATTAGGCTTAGATCAAATTTGGGATAATAATTTTATTTTCCATCAAAAGTTATTTAAAAGGACATAAAAATATGACCAGAAACTCCTTATATAAGCGCGTGTGTTAATTTCTATGGATGGAAAATCCTATTAATACATAATGAACTTTTTGATCAAGGTTCTTTTACACATGCACTCGGTTTAGGTTTAATGTATTCCACAATTATGAAAATTACATAGCTTATATAAAGCATAGTGTTAATTACAGTATGCAGAACAAGGTAATCATAATATTCCCATAAATGTTATGTCTAAAATCATTAGTGGCAATAGGATCGAAATATCATCGTGACTTTCATAAAAAAAATATTGTGTACCATTGAACATTAGCTATTGCGTCAATCATTAACATAATGGAGAACAAGAGCAAGTTTGTAATATATTTTTTCAATAAAAAGACTATTTGGGAATATTTTTGAGTTGAATTAAGTTGTTTGATTAAGATTCAATCTATAAACGTCATCCAATTATGTGAGAGAAGCATATACATAAAAATATACTCACAGAAAAAAATGATGCAAAGAATTCTCAGAACATAATACACCATGGTTTGCACATATATTTTGTATTAACGAATTCACATTGTTCACAATTTTCTAATAATTGAAATTAACTAACGTTATCAGACCGATATGCGAACGAGTTAATAAAATCTACATTTTACAAACTTACGTAAATAAAACTCTTAAAACATCTGAATTTGAACATTCTATTTTATTACCTATCATAAAAATTATAACGACGTCAGTAAATGTGTTGAAAGACATTATGCTGAAATATGCCAATCTATGATGGATTAAAATATCGTTGACTTTAATTATAAATGAATGTAAATTATTTATTTATTATTCATGTAATTTTGAAATATAAAGTTTAAAATCGAACATATTCGATAAGATGAAATTTATGGCCTATTCTCGGCTAACTTAGTCATGTTATGTTATCACAAAACCACTTTTTACATACATGAAATTTATGGAAAAAATCACCCCTTATGAAGAGGTGCTGGGACGCGAATAGCAAAAATAGCTGACCACTTCAATTAAACTATTTGGTTTCAAAACAACGCAACTTTGACCTAAAAATGATTCGGAGGATTGTCAAATTCTGACCACTCCACTTCTTCATTGTCATTATTTCCAGAATCTCTAGAAATAATTGGCAAAACCTTACGTCTTCTAGGATGAAAAAAAATTTCATCCACATACACTACCAAAATCAGTAATATCAAAATCACTTCCAATTTGTGATAAATTATTGGCGCAAACTTTACTATCGCTATCCGATGCTATTATTTCATTATTGCAAATAACAATGTAAACAAGAGTTGAACT